CAGCTTGCAATTCGCCTTGAAACTAGGCGACCAGGAAGTTGAGCTAGTAAACACGTATGTCTAGTTAGGGCAGGCAATACAAATGGGCAACAACTTGAAGGCGGAATTGAACTGAAGGAGAAGAGAAGGTGGACCAATCTTCAAGAAATCTCGGACAGGCGGACATCATCTCACATAAAGGCTGAGCCCTCCAGTACCATCATTCTCTCTGTGCTGCTTTATGGCTGCAAAACGTAGAACACCACTGTCGCAGAGGAAACGAAACTAGTTATTACAAAACGACCAATGGAAAGACGAATGTTGGGTGTTAGCAGAGTACAGCGTATACGCAACAATGAGCTTCGATTACATCCTGGTTTGAAAGAAATAAAACAGATGTATGCTAGGAAAAGAAGCTAGGCCGGTCACGTAGTACGGACGACTGACAACAGATGGACGAAAAGCATTGTCGATTGGTAGTCATGACATGTGAAAAGGCCAGTAGGAAGGCCATCGATACGCTGACTCGATCCGCTAATTCGATTATACGGAGTATTGTGGATGAGAGCTCAAGAGAGGATTCGGTGGTGTGGCTAGCGGCTCAGTCACTGGAGAAGATCAACAGCACGTCAGTGACGGAAATGCCGTATCATATATCAGGCGTATGAAGTTTTATACGTGGTTACTTCAGCCAGCTGTTCTTAAAGAAGAAGTTACTTTTGCGCGGTTTACTGGAAAGCGTCCCTGAAATTTTTGTAGAAGAGCAAAATTTCGGAAATAATTTTGCACTCATTAACTGATATTTCATAGGTGAAGAATTGGAATTTTATAAAAGTACTGGCTTCCGTTAGCTTTCTCTCCTTTTTCTCCTTTCTCCTCATACCACCATTCCACCACCCCTTCCCTCACGATAACTGATATTTATGGAGCACAGAGGAGCAAATAGGGAAGGTGTCGTTTGTTAGCTGGCATGACTTTTTTAATTGTGGTGCTGAGTAGCGACTTTGTTTTCCCAAGTAAGATCATTTTCGAGGTTGCGCTTATGCTTTTTCAAAAGTGTACAGTTTTATCAATATTGGTAACGACTGGAAGTAGTATAAGCAGATAGTACGACCTCCTTCCATTGAATTCCTTCGACTGATGTCATACAGCAACTTGCACGGCAAAGCAGAACATTCTGGGCGGGCGGTAGTTCGATTCTCTTCCTACTGC